TTGGCTCATACAAAACTTTCACCAAACCCACCCTCTGAGTTTTTCATGATATCAGGAGTCTCCCATCTTCTATTTCAGTGCTTGCTTTTGTGTGTGTGTGTGTATGTGCGCGCGTGTGTGTAAGTGCAGGAATTAAGCTTATCTCCACCATATTTCATCTCGCCACTTTTATCCCATCTTTCTAGCCTGTCAAGATGCTTTTGAAGTATTGTTTATCACCCAGCGTATTAAACCACCCCTCTCAGCTTTGCGTCATTTGCAAACTTAATAAACCTGCTATTTGTGTCTTTATTTGAAGCATTGATAGAAATGTTGAAAAAGACATGAGAGAACAAAGGACCCTGCTTTAGGCTTCAAATTATATTTCTCTTCCTTGATTTAAAGATTTCTTGAGAGACTATTAAATCAGTTGCTGAAAACCAGATACATAAATCTATGACCTCACTCAGCTGGTACGTGATAAAAGGGGCATATACTAGGTCTGGTGAAATTTCTATTTCATGAACCTTTGTTGATTGTGAATGATACTGAGTTCCTTCTAGAAGGATTCAGACTTCTGTAAGAATTCATTCTAAAATTTTGCTGATGGTTAACAGTGATCACATTTTTATTTCTAGAATATATTTCCTCCATTCCGTTTATAAAGATCACCCTTGTCCTTGATTAAGTAGCCTTTCTTCCATCCTTTTTATGCATGATTTTTAAAGCAATGCTCATCAAAGAGCTCAGTGTGGAGTCATATTGTGTATTTAGAGCCGTCTTCTTTTCTTTCTTCTATGGGATCAGTTTCCGATTAGCAGCTGACCAAGCAAAGCAACAACTTGGGGGCATCAGTCTCTAGGGGGTGTTAAAACCTGGCTGGAGCATATACGATATCTGCTGCAAGTTCAATACTGTATGTCTGTACAGATGGATGTTTACACAGCTGGGGAATGCAAATAGGTTGTCTCTCATTGAAGTATATGTCACTTTCAAAGGGAAATTTAAAAATGCTTGTCCCCATCCTGCCCCTACTAAATGATCAAATATCAAAGGACTCTTGGCTTGAAGGGGTGGCCAGCGATTAGCCTCCCCAGGCACCCACATGTCTTTTTTGTGTCCTCACTGACTCCTTCGATCATATTAATAGAATTTTGTCTTCAAAGTATTCTATCCCTTTCTTGCTCCTTCATCATTCAGGAAGATGCAGGTGTTGCCAAGAAGCAAAGCGTAGGTCTCGGTGACACACGTGCTGTTCAAATCCCAGCATCACCATCCACTAGCTGGGTTGCTTTAAGCCAGTGGTTCTTAACTGGTGGGGATTTTGGCTTCCCAGGGGACAACTGGCAATGTCTGGAGACATTTTTGATTGTTACAACTGGGATGTGCTACATGTATCTAGTGGTTCAAGGCCAGGGATGCTGAGAAACAGCCTACAATGCACAAGACAACCCCATAACAAAGAATTTTCTCACTCAAAACGTCAATAGCGCCGCTTTTGGGAAACCCTGTTTTAAGGACAAAACTGAACCGTTCTGAGCCTTGGTATCTTCCTTGTTACAATGAGGGTGACGAGGGTCTGGCGTGCTGTGGGGAAACATATACAGTGCTATACTTACAGCGTGCGGTGTAATGACCGGCACGTAGCCAGCATCAAACATGGTAATTACACTCATTGTTTAGGTATTAGGCATTGCGTGGGACACTTCTTATGATGTTATTAGCTTAATATTAAAAAAGTAGTTTGCTCCACAAATATTTTTTATGAACACTTTCTACTAGGCACTGATCTGGCTGCTGCAAATAGACTAGTTAAAAAAGAAAGCAAGCTCCGCCCTCAGGGAGCTAAAAACCTGCAAGTTGGCATCTGTGTTCCCCATTTTGCAATCAAGAGAAGCCAGGCTCTGAGAGGCTGAAGTGACAAAGTCACAGGCCCAAGGTCTCCATGCTAACAGAGGCAGGCCCGGATTCAAGTCTCACCAGCTCTGTCTGATTCCAAAGCCTACATGCTTTCTACTCCATTGCTGTCAGACACCTGCTGTTAGAAAACCAGAGTGGGAGATGGATGAGGACTGCAGATCTCACCTCTGAGCTTAGCTTATTGATAATGTTGGCATCATCACCCACACTCTCTCACTCTACAGTATACTTCTGCAACGTGGTCTTTTTGTTGCTTTCCTCTTTTACTCTTTATTAATTCAACAAGTATTTATTGAACACTGGATCCTTGTTAGGATACAGTGGAACTATGAGATACTATCTGGGTTTGCAGGAAGCTCACGGTCTAGCGGGGTAGGAGTCTATCTCTGCTAGGAGTCAGTGCACGGAGGGCCCTAGCAGCAGCCCTCACTTACCCTTGTGTGCATGATGCCATCTTGACCTCGGGATGGTGGACTTCCTTACAGGTGCGTTCTTTCCTTAACTCATCACCACATGCACAGTTAGTGTATGTGCACAGCATAATTTTCCTTTGGTGTGCAAAAAATTCTGGGTATAGCATTCATACATCTGAGGCTTATGTTACGTCTTTAGCTTGGTACAGATTTATGGCACAGTAAGTTCTCAGTTGTAAAGGACGTTGCCTTTATGACATTATTTGTTCATGACCTTGATAGTCCATGCCATGTGTACATTGCAATTTGGATTTAGTCACATGACCTGAAATATTGATGAACCAAAGAGTGCTAATAATAGTGAGGGAATCTAGCAATCATCCAATATTCCCATCAAAGCTTGACTTTGTGAGTTTTACAAAGTAATAAAGTCCATTGTTTCAGGACTTTAGGAATGTCTAAGGGTAGTATCTTTAGGAATATCATAGCATCATAGTGTAGAGTTTGTTTCGATGGAAACTTTATGGCTCAGAAGAAGCAGTTAACATGCGAAATTATTCTTTTTTTTTTTATTTCAGCATATTATGGGGGCACAGATGTTTAGGTTACTTATGTTGCCCTTGCTCCCCCACCCCCCCGTGAAATTATTCTTGACTGAATTGTAGGAATACATATGGCGGCATTTGGGCACTCACCAATGTCTCAGGATACATGACGTATGAATGCCAAGGGCCTACTCCATTCAACAGCCACTTTTACTTGCTAACTGATAGCATCACTCAACTTTCAATTGCATCTCTTCTGCAGCTTGACCACGCACGACAAATTCTCCCGATCTACTTAAGACTATAGATTCTCAGTAGAGAGATCAAGCTTCAAAACTCTGCTTGACTACATATTAGCTGAGTAGCCATTATCAAAATGACCTCCCACTGCCTCAGTTTCCTCATCTGTAAAATGAGGATAATAATCATAGCTCTTATTTCTTTGGAACATTGTGACATTAGGTTGTCACATTTACACGTGTAATATGTAATGCCACAAAGTCTCTGCCTTCTATTTTTGTTCACGTACGATAAAAATGGTGATAAGATCTTTAAAATACAGCAACTACAGGAAATGTTGGAGAAAATTCAGATAAGGACATTGGGGTTAGGTAATCGAAAGCTAGAGTTGAGACCACGCCTGGGTGCTGTTTTTAGGATGCAAGGGATTAAGTAGTAGCTATTTACTTGTCCTTTCTAGCGTGCAATATCTAAGGCCTGATGATCAAGCAATTTTAGTCTTCATTCTCCAATTCCTCCCTTTGATTGATCAGTTGCCACTCTCTACTGTCTTACTTACTGGGCATGTGGTCTTCTGGGGCTTTGCATACAGGCCTACTGGCCTGTAGATTCCTCACTCACCAATAGGACTGGTGTGTTCCTGGTTCTAAACCCAGAAATGCTTTCTGCTCTTGGCCACTTTCTGGCATGAGATATCGGCCTTATTCCTCAACTGGTCCACCTCAGCACTTACATCTTCTGCCAAAATCATTCTTTCTCTTTTTCTCTTTCCATTTCTAAGTTAACTACAACAGGGATCATAGCACAGAAAAGTGCTACCTCGGTGTCTGACTGCCTGAGTTCACGTCTTGGTTCTGCCACTTACTAGCTTGGTGGCCTTGGGCAAGTTATTCAGCCTCTTTGTGCTTCACTATTCTCATCTAAAAAGTAGGGATAATAATCTAGATTGCCTCATGTAATTGTTATGAAGATTTAATGGGTTAATACATCTAAAGTACTTAAAATGCAGCCTGACCTGTCGTAAATCTTATATAAGTGTATAATATTATTTTTATTATAGCTTCACTGTCCTGTTCACTCCTCATTTTCTGTGAACCCCGCACCTGTGTTTATAAATGAGTGATTATTTACCATTAATGCTATTCTGATACCACTACCCACTGGGCACACAGAGTGACCTCCCTCCCTGCCTGCACATTACGACTGTCTTACTATTTTCATTTTGGGTTCATAGTATATAGCCTTATATTGAAACAAATTCTATTGGCCTCATATTAAACATCTGAAAATACTTAACCAATCATATCTATATTTTAATCTAGATATAGCTAATCTCCTGTAGAGAACAGAAGAGCAAGAGTGACTCCTATATTCACAGTCACACATGGGGAAGGTGCTCCCTCACACCTCTTGATTCCTATCGACCTTTTCATTTGCAAATAGTATCAGGGAGCTACCCTGTGAGTGAGAGGAAGAGAGAACCATGTTGATATGCTTAGACAAAGAAAAAGTTAAATTAAATATTGCTAGTAGGTAGAGGTCTTTAATAAATGCAATTTTACATCAAGAAGCCTGGAGCAGAGAGTTGGCTTCACTCGTGTTGTGGTTTACACCACACACCAAATAACATTGGTTCCAATACCATCATTGACTTAGAAGCCCCCAGCACTAATCATAATGTGTTTCAAAGGTGAATTAGTAGCTTTAGAAAGATGACTCGATAATGTTTCTCCTGTGCATCACAGAGAACAACCACACAACTTTTCTTATACAGAGAAGATATTTGGGACCGACCCCCAAATTTACCTGGTAGTTTTAAAAGCCAAATTCACATTATCCAAGGCAATCCTTATACCAAATGTAATCTTAACACACGTTTATATCTACAGAGCCAAATTCTTACCTATGACTTTTCCTAGAAAGAGCGACTTGGGAGAGTTGAAGAGGGTGTCAGATGAACTGGGCAGGTGGTAACTCACGGAAGGGTAATGATCGAGCTGCAGGAAGAAAACAAGAGACACGTTTAGGAGCTTGTCACTGTCCTGCACCGGAATCACATCTTCCCGGGGGATGACATCACTCTTTGAACCGTGGTTTCTGGATAACTCACTTCATCAGCACTGACTCTGAAATACCAGCCTGAGAAAATGGAAGTCTCTCTCTTCCTTCGCTGGGGTTATTTGAAAACAGCTGGAGCTTGGTAAGTGAAGAGGCTGCAGGAGTTGTGCTCCAGCTGATACACATTTTCTGTGGATAATGTACCTGCTGGATTAAGATCCTTGCTCATTTTAATGGATAAAATCTGCGTGATCCAATCTCCTGTGTCAACCTCTGAGATGTAAAATGCCACATCTACGGCAATGAATTTTAGGGCTCCTCTCACTGAACTGTTTTCTTCACCTTTTGGTACTATCAGCTTACAGAACAATATTGATCTTCTCACACTCACATACACACACTTACATGCTGAGATTCAAGGAAGGTGAATATACATAGTTTTCTTGCTTATCACGTGGCCACAGGCAGGGGTGTTAGAGCAGGGGCAGCAGGGGGTGGGAAGGGAAGCAGGTGGACCTAGAGTATAGATAATGAGCGTTGGAGTCACACATGTTTCTGATCACATTTCCCATGTACAAAGTGCAAACGGTGGTGTCACAGAATTGTAGGCCCTGTCTTGCCCTTTGTGTCCCTACGTGGCTTTTCCTACCTTGTATTCTTCCGTCTTTTTATGACCAGCCCAGCCTAGCTGTGTTTCTCCAACTGTGAGATCTTAGAGTTTTCTGGGCTTTTTTGTGTCCACCTGCAGATGAATCTTTTTTGTAACCATTTGTTTCTCTGAAGTGAGTTTAATACCTGCTAAGGTCAGCATGACAAAAGGTGTGGGTCATAAGAAAACACTCTCCAACACGGGCATTCTCACGGGAACCAAGTCGGTTGTGCGAAGGAAGGAGACAGAACAAGCGGTAACTTGTTGAAGGCAGCGATGCAGACGCAGAAACCGAAACACTCCCAGGTCCTTGCTAACAACTGGGCCTGATTAGGCAAAAACTGTCTTTCAGCTGCGCAAAGACGCAGGAAGCTAGCTGTGCTCTCAGAGGGAAGGAGAGGAAGGCAGTTAAGAAAGAGTGCAGAGGAGCGAGTGAATCTTTCTCACCACATTGAGAACCAGCTACTCTGATGAATAGTCACTCCTGACTCAGGACTGTCCACAGCTGAATCTTCACACTGCTTACTGGAGACTTAGAGAGCACTGAACAATCAGAGTTAAGAGTTAAAGAGCAATACATCTCAGGAACTTTTGAGAGTTTCGGCCTGTAGAACCGGTACTGTAAGTTTTTGTACATGAGTAGTATCGCTACAAAAGTCCAAAAAAAAATCTGTTAAAGCGAATGTTTGCACATCTGGCTATCATTTTGAAAAGCTTTCTATAATGTCCAATGCATCATTAACAAAACACTAATTCTGGCCAGAGAATCATAAATATTGAAAATCTCATATAGTTGTTTCTTTGGACCAAAGGCTACTCGGTTTCTGCAGCTAAATATTAGCTAGTTGCTTTGGCGCCATCTGATGGTACACATGGGTAACTGCGGCTGCACCTCTATCCACTTCCGCGGTCAAAATGCCAATGGTGATTGATAGCCTACCCTGCCACGCCTGATGGTGATGATCTCCCCTTCCAATACGTCTTATAATTTAAGAACTAAATTTATAACAAAACTCTACTTTGTTAAAGAATTTTTGAAATGGACACAAACAATATATGTTCATTATAGAAAAAAATGATACGGATTTGCAGGAAAAAAAGCCTGATGATAATCAATGTTAACTTTTTATGTATATTTGTTCAATCTTTTTTGAGACAGGGCCTCGCTCTGTCGCCCAGGCTAGAGTGCAGTGGTGTCATCCTAGCTCACTGCAACCTCAAACTCCTGGGCTCAAGTGATCCTCCTGCCTCAGCCTCCCTCGTAGCTGGAACTACAGGTACGCACCACCACGCCTGGCTAATTTTTTAAAAATGATTTGTAGAGACGGGGTCTCGGTATGTTGCTCAGGCTGGTCTTGAACTCTTGGCCTCAAGTGATCCTGCTCCTTGGCCTCTGAATTTTTTAAGTAAAAATTTTTTTTTAAGTAAGCAATTTTTTAAGTAAAAAATGGTATGGAACCCAACTGGCACATAGTTTTCTATTGTTTTAACTTAACGATGTATTATGAACCTCTTTTTGTGCCAATAAATATACAACTAAATCATTTGTCACGGATGACTCATATTCCATTTTATGAATATACCGTACACAGTCTTTAAGAAAAATCAAATTTCCATATTTAGACTTTTAGATTTTTTGTGTCCAGAGGCCCAGTTCAGTGCCCAGCTCATGGCGGGCTCACCAAAAATGTGTTGACATTTGTTAACGCAACCCAGAGAGCAGTGCACACAGAAGTGGAAGCCGTCCCAGCCGTGGTCTGACCCACGCAGTGGAGTTGCCTTCCTTTTCCTGAACTGTTTCTATGGGGCCAGACCAGAGCGACTTGGCTTTCTTGGCAGTTATCTTATTTGTGCTGAGCGCACCGTAAAATAAAATTCCTGTTGATCTCTGTCAGTTTATCCCCTTCCCATACCTATGGAAGCTATGATGGCTTGAACCAAAATACTAAATTTTACATTTATTTATATGGAATTTTATTTATTTTGTTTTGAAACACAATAATGGCCTGCTCAGAGGTTTCTGATTCTCTATTCTGTCATCTAACATATTAGTGATCTTGCTTGGTTTTGACTTTTCTAAGAGCTTAATAAACACTCCTGGCTTTAATGCATTAATAAAGTCATTAATTAAAAAGCACTGGACAGGAATCTAAACGGGCAGTGATACATAATTCTAATCCAAATAACTGTTCAGCTTGGAAGATGTTTTGTAACAACTAAAATGGCGACTATGACAAATGCCGAAGACACGCAGAAAGCCTGTACCGTTCACGAGGATTAAGCTCCGGGGCTTGAGGAAATCCTGCAACAAAGTAGGGAAGGACGGAGCGCTAAGACACGGGTCTGATAAACTTTTCCCTGTCGCCAGGGGATGAGAATCTCCATGCTTCTGTACGCTTTCTCTTCCCGCACTCCCGCCTGCTTTGTGCCGGGGCGAGGTGGGATTCCGGGCGGGAGGGGAGACGGCAGCTCGGAAGCTGACAGCTGACCGCTGACCGTCTGCTGCTGTCGCCGCTAGGTGGTGGTGTCTCCCTGCTGAACACAGAGAGCTGGGCCAGCAGCATCAGACAGGACACTCCGCGACCACGAACGTGACCGCACAAGGCCCGTCTGGCCTTCTGCCTGAGGTATCCACGTCCTGATCTTCAGAACCCGAGTGTGCTACTCGCGTGGCAAGGGGGACTCTGCGGACGTGATTGAGACGCGAGATTAGCCTGCATTTCCCCGCTGGGCTCGTGTCCTCACAGGGCCCTCCGAGGAGGGAAGCAGGAGGGTCAGAGTGAAGAGAAGGAGGGGTGACGGCGGAAGCAAGAAGCTGAGGTGATGTGAGGAAGGGGCCAAGCAGTGCAGGTGACTTCTAGAAGCTGCAAAGGGCAAGGAAACCGATTGTCCTCTCAGCGCCTCCAGAAGGAACCAGCCTTTCTGACTCCTTCACGTCAGCCACCCACACTGATTTTGGACTGGCACCCTCCAGAACTGGAAGATGGTAAATTTGTGCTGTTTTAAGCCTCTAAGTCAGTGGCAATTTGTTACAGCAACACTAGGAAACTAATAGAAGACATTAAAAAAAAAAAAAAGACTCTGTGCAATCAAAAAACCGACCACACGTCCCATTCTCCCAGTCACTTCTCCAATAACAACTTTAGTGTTCTCCATGCGTCCTGCCCTCCAGATGAAACTTACCGAGAGATCCAATTACTGAATTGCCCCTCCTTCTTTGAGAGCCCCTGGTGGAGAAGAGACCCCTGCTTCCTTGAACCCTTCTGCCATAAGCCAGATTCCTAAAATAAGCCCTTCCTGACTCATACATAGACACCCCACGTTCTCCTAGGTATATGGGTCCCTTTGTGTCAATTGTCAATTCCTGGCCCCCGGCTCCAAACGTATCCTTCGGTGTTTGCTGTGACGAACAGCAGCAGTTCCTTTAACGTTTCTCTTTTGAAGTAAGCACACGTCAGGCTTTCCCAGTAGAGGTGCTGGGGGGACGCCATGGGAGGAGGGGGCTTCCTGCAAATTCCAGCGCAAGCTCGGGGCGCGGGTATGGAGGCTCTGCCTAGGCCATCGGTGGAGCCTGCCCAAGCCACAGGCCAGCGCCGATCCCTCTGTGACCCTACAGTCTTGGCCGTGACAACCCGTCCTCGGCCCCCTCGATGTAGAAACAGAGGCCGGAGCGCCCATGCCACGGCACCTGTCGCCTGCTCCGCCGCCTCTCCAGAGGGCAGCCTGTTGCTTCCCCAGACAAGCTCCATCCTGGCCAGACCAGAGAGCCCCTCTGCCTTCTGCTGGGCTCAGTCACACCTTCTCCCGCACGGTCTTGAAGGGGGCAGAACATGCCACCCTCAAATACACCAGTTTGGCCAAGTGACTATTTTGAGCTAAAGGCACCTAGAAAACAACAGATGCAAGAAGGGCCCTCTGACCTCGTGTTTTCCTCCTGAAAGCAGGAGAGGAAGCCCCCACATGGAAGACGCTCCCCCTTTACCAGGAAGAAAAGAACATTCTGATTGCCAGAGATGGAGAGTCGAGGCTGAGAGAAGTCTGTACAACCACTGTTTTTTACAGTTACAATAACCCTTACCTGCCTCTAGGCTCCCCATATAATTTAGTTACTTTTCCACAATTACTGCTCTTTGTTCAACCTACTGTATAAGCACTTGGGCCTAACTGCTTTTTGGGTCTTCATTTTCCCGTGAAGCCTCCCAGGTACCTGTAAAATGTGCCTGCTTTCCCCCGTTAGTCTCTTAGGGCAGTTTAAGTCCCAGCCTGGAGACCCTCAGAGGGTGAGGGGGC